TTGGTACACATTGCAAACCGCGCCAAGTGAAATACGCCCGCGATTTTCAACATATTTATTAGTATTATTTGAAGTTATGGTCGAGTCACGTGAAACGCACACTGGAATTGGGAAATTATGTATCATGACTATATCACGGGAACCGTACCCATAATCACGATGATTTATTAATCGCATCTAAAGCAAGCTACGAATATTTATAAGTTGATTTTGAGATTATTGCAAGGTCATGAGATATCACTATTTTAAAAGGCGTTTCTTGGGCGAGCCCCGGGGTGAGGTGTACCAAAAATACCCCGGGGCGATGGTATGGGGCGAAAGTCTCAAGAAGTGTACGCCTCGCAATTTGGGGCGTACGTCCGGGCGTTCGAGGCGCATTATTTTAGTATGGAGTAAGCCCCAGAGACTTTTTCAAATTAAAATAAAATTTGTTGAATAAATCCTTCATATACTACCCAAATTCTCAAAAGTCAGTTTGGTAATTACTCAAAAGGTTTAAAAAGGAATTCAAAAGTATTAAATTTAAAAGTAAAGACCTTTTTTTATTGATTTAAGCTATAATTCATGGTTTTACCAATTTTTTATCTTATCCGCTAGTCTGCTAATATCTCCCAAAAGTAACGAATATTTAATTTTTTTACAAATACAAAGAGAACTACATTCTTCTTCATAGTAGCAAATTCAAAGTTTAAATTGCAGGTTAATCATCCTTTTTGTTCCTCCATATAGAAAACTTTATTCTTTTAGACTCAAATAACTTGTGCTTGTAAGTAACGTTAATAGATTATTTTGATTAGTTTTTTGTGGGGATAGAGCACACATATATATAGTTTTCTTCAATTTTTATGCAATTTTACCTGTTTATAAATATTTACTGTCATTATATTATTTTATAAAATATTAAAAATTAAATACATATGAGGCTTACGCCCCGCTGAGGCATATGTAAAATGCATCGCCTTACGCCCACGTCTTTTAAAACACTGTGAGATATGGATGTGGAGTTATTGGAGGTCAAAAATATTTTAGCTATTTGGAGTCTTGGCAAGTTATCCACCTTTAGAAATATTTTCAACTATTTCATCTTTTGAGTTATTTTAATATCTACTAATTTGTGCCATATAGATTAGCTTTATTAAATAAAAATTGGTCCAATGACCCAATAATTCGAAGGAGTAGAAATATGAAGGCTCATTTGTCTAAGTCCCAGATTTACGCATTGTCCATACTAATCGGCAATTATAGAGTTTAACCATATAAAATCCTAATCAATTCAAAATTAAGCATGTAATCAATGATATCAAAGAGTACACAATTTATATGAAACTAGTTATGTTGCCCGCGTTTAGCGCTGTGTTTGACACATCTCTTTGTAAATTTTGTTGATATAGAAAGATAAAAAACTTGTAGCAAAATTCTATAAAACAAATATACTTATAGTAGAAGACATACATATGTAATACTATTAAAAAATCCCAATATGTTAGAAAAACTTTCGTAGAAAAGAATAAACATAAAAAATCCAACTGAAAGTATCACATAGAAATAAGTATTCGGCTTCTTCTTTTTCTGAGTGTTCTGGTACCAATACATTAGTGTTCCATATAAAAATGAAAAATTAATAACCCTGCGAGATCACTTTTACATCAAGTGCATAATAGGATAATATGAGAGTAATTCTTTTTCCTGTATAATATCTGCAAAAGAGAACCCAAGAACACTGTGCAGCTCTAGGCTATTTAGTACAATCATAACCAACTATTATTAGATACAAAAACCAATAAAATATGAAACATGTTTATCTTCAAGCACAACACAATTACATTGTCTATTATTTGACCAGTTTAGTAGTGAGCCTTTGTCATTCCAAATCAGCAGCATACAGACGAAGTTTATATTCCCTTCACTTCCAATATATTGCATTGTGTAACATGGTTCACATGATCCATATTTTGAAATATGTTGAAATCAAAAAAGAAAACTATAGTTAAAGCTTCTGCACACAAATGTCATATATCATTGATAGACATAAACCATGGATCCTTCACGCTGCTCAGATTTAACCATAGAAGCATTTTTAGTGTCGTTGCACCTCTCTATGCAAATCTTCCCTTGTTCCCTTTGGAGTTGTTAACTTACATACACCGTTCCATCTGATATCATAAAAATTATGGCATTTATGACGCTGTGAGAGCTTTAATACTTGAGTACGGGTACTCTTATCCGCTCTTAATGCTTATATTTTCAAGGCAAAGGCATATGTTAACTCGTCAGCTGCTGCCTGGGATGGCTGGGGACCTGTAATTTAATTTTCTGAAAAAGTAAGAGAAGACGTGTTATACGGGAGACTTTAAAAAAAAGAGCACTAAGAACATTTTTAGAATGAAAAGAAGTTGTTACTCATCACCATTATTTTCATAGGTTCTAATAAGATCATAACCAGTTTATTTGCTTTGCAAAACATCTTGATCAAAACTTAAACAGTATTCAATAGGAAATAAATGTCAAGTATTTTGATATCAACATTCAGTAATAGATGATTCATTAACTTCTTCAAGGTTACAAAACTCATGTGCTCCATGAAAACTCATGTGCTCCATTGAGGGCAGCGATAGAAATAGTGGCTATGGGTGAAGCTTTACAACATGGTCGACGACAGATTCAAGCTTGCGATGCCCGGAACTTTTAACCCCTCGTTCTCTATAAGATCCATTGATGCCCTGTTTTCTTATCCCCTGTTATTCTCTTTCGGAACCTCCTCACTGGGTGTGCTCTAAATGGACGTGACTGAAACCCCTCTGTTTCGGACCCTTTCCCCTCCCGTTTTTGTGCAGAGAATGAGAAACTGCTCCTTTGTGTGTTGTGTGTGTGAAAGATATATAGGTGTAGCGATAAGGATTTAATTGGTGGCCAAAGAAAAAAGAGTGTATCACGTGAGTTTTGCGGGAGAACATGTGAGTTTGTTACAAAAGATAAAAGATAAGGAATAATCTTGCCACATGGATAAAAGATAAGGAATAATCTTGCCACATGGAAATGGAAATGACTCATTGGCTCTTGCTTTAATTAATTTTTTTTTTTTCTTTTAAGAGTATAAAATAAAAATACTAGCTAAATATTTTAAAATCAAGATCATATAATTTTCTTAAATAAAACCTATAAATGTGAAATAAAGCTAAAATATCAAGATTAAACTTAAAAGATAGTTAAATGCTAAAAAGTGATGAAAAGAATTAAATATGGTCAATAAGAGTTAAATATGGTCAAAAATTAGGTGCTAACAACTGTTTGCCTTGTTGCGTGCATTCTCTGTATCGTTTCTTTGACTCTGAATTTTTGAAACATGTCCCGGACTTGAGACTTGTCGTTCTTGAGCATTTTGAGAATGTGGAACAGGTTCCGCATCTAATTCTTATTACTAAATTTGTTAGATTATCAAAACATAACAGGACACTTACACTTTTAATGTTGTGAAGAGGGCAAGCATTGTAAAGATACAATATGTTGTATTCCATTCTATCATAGGCTAAAATACTGTGTTGTCAATGCATCAAGATTTTTTGTGAAACAGAGCTTGGTTGAAACGTACGGAATGAGAACATCAAGAATTTTCAGTGGCTGTAAAGAACATCGTTATTCGTTCTCTTATTTATTCGGATGGAAACAATTAATTACTTTGTTATCTGGGATTTGTCAAACGAATGGTATAATGGAGGCCATCGACAAAAAGAACTTTCAATAGGTATGTCTGGAGTTTATTAGTAAAATAAATGAAGCATCCCCTGCTAGTACACTTAGCTCAACATTTTTCCATCTCAACGGCTCTCTTTGTATTAGTAAAAAATAAACTCATGAGTTAAAATGCAATATGTGTCAGCAAAGAAAGTGAAGAATGGTCTGTAAAATACATTAGAAGCTAAACAAATCAGTACTGTAACCATTAGTTCTGGAACTGTTCATAAAAGAATAGTTCGGATCTGGTACAGAGGATCGCTCATAGTTACGAATAAAAAAAGGATCAACTAATCCCGGATTACACGGAATTTGTCATTATTATGCCATCAGTTTCAAACAAATTTTAAAACCAAATGCATACTTCTTTTTGTTGGACCAAAGATGTAAGGATTGGGATGTTCAGGCAGTGGCAATAGCACCATACAAGTTTGAAAACATAAAAGCACTTCCAACCCGGTGGAGAGGTCTTACTAATGAAGAACTTTCAAAAGTGACTGGGATTTTTGGTTCTGTTTTTGTGCATATGAGTGGCTTTATTGGAGTTAATCATAGCTATGAAGGTGCACTTTCAATGGCAAAAGCAGGTCTCTAGCAGGGTTAATTCTTAAGTGAATTAATCATCTTGGAATTTTTTATACTTCTTTCAACTAAGAATATAATTTGCCTCAAGTAACTCTAGCTAAACTACAAACTCTAGCTAAACTATCTCATACAAGTCCATCTAGGTTTCTAAAATTACAATAAGGCATTCAAGAACTTCCGCAACATAAGATTCCTTCTTCTATTAAGCTCGATAAATATGATCAACATTCACCAATTAATTTTTAGAAATATTCATATTTCAGAAAACTTTATTTTATAATTCTAATATATTATTAAATAAATATTTATGTTAATATTTAATCATGATATGGGAACACACATAACAGCATACACTAAAACTAGTACTCATTCAGAAGGAAAAGGTAGAACAGATAGAATTGGACAGTAATACCTCTCCTAAACCAAGAAGAATACTAAATGAGGAATTTAATGATAAAAAATAATAATTTGAATAATAAGGCACTCCATCAGATGGTAATAATTAAAGCAAATAATTAGTGATGTCTAAAGAATGGGGAATATATTATAAAGGAAGAACCAGTAACTTACTCCATCTAAACCTCTGTATATTAGCAGAAAACAAAAAAAGAAGACATATAGATTGATCTGCCCTTCTCTCTCTTTCCTGTCTCTCTCTCTGTACCCGAAAGGCCGAAACTATTATGGCCACTAGCGGTAATGGTGGTCGGCCTTTCCATGAGGATTTAGCGGTGGATATTCTACTCAGGTTGCCAGCGGAGTCCTTGTTGCGATTCAAATGCGTCTGCAAGAACTGGTACGAGATAATGGAGAGCCATAGCTTCATCAGAGAACACATGAATTGGAACATCAAGAGCAAATCCCCTCAAATCTTGATTTATGATCATAGTGCCCTAGATGATTCCCCTTCAATCACTTTTTTTTCGGTTTCAGATGCTGGTGTACATGAAAATCCACCTGATTATCTCCAGGGCTTTAGAGGTATGACAAACCTTTTAGGTGTCGTGGATGGATTATTTTTGTTGGAGCGAGAAATTGATGGCAGCATATTCAATATCTCCTTGTCATTGTGGAATCCTGCCACCAGGGAAGTGAGGCCCCTTCCTGCAGCCAACTTCGAGCTTCAACCATCTTTCAGACAAATGGACCGTCAGTTTGGGTTCGGATTAGACCCCATGACTAATGACTACAAGGTTGTTTGGTTTCGGTCCTTCTGGGATGACATCAGAAAACATACTATCCCTCGACAAATATGCAGCAGTCTATTCTTGTTCTAGAGATTCGTGGAGAATCCTTGAACCTGCAAATCTCATACATGAATTCTGTGTAGAATCCGTTGGGACTGCTTATTTAAATGAAACTTATTGTTGGCTGCTATGCGGCGGGGGTTGTACTTCTTATGATTGTAGCGTTCTTTCATTTGACTTTGACAATGAGGTATTTGTAGAAATTGGAGGGCCAGATGTTGGGCGCGCTTTCAATCATTGCAATGTGAGACTGGTATTGCTTGATGACTTCATTGCCCTCATGACCGTTGTTGAAGGATTTGTTTATGATATATGGGTAATGATCCAACCAGGTATTTGGAACAAACAATTTACCTTTCAATGCACTTCGTATATAAAGTCTTGGTATTCTAGCGCTCTCATTTTTGTAAATAAACGTTCTCGCCTATTCTCCTATGATGTTAGGACTCAGACGACGAGGAATCTCGGATTTCGTCATCCAGGCCTGAGGAGAGCCATCTGAAAAACCACAGATGATTGTTCCGTTCATTTTTATAATCAGAGATTAGTAATAATTATACGAGAGAATGGAGAGCCGAACCATTGAAGCTTACTGACATATTTGACTCATTGATTTAGCTTTAAACAAGAGTGGATAATATGTTACCACTCAGCCTCAAGTTTCCCTGGCTAAGTTTGTCTGGTGTCAATAAACCTTTCTGGTTTAAAGATCACAATCATGTTATTATTATTGTTGCTTTGTTTCAGATATAACTTTACAGNATATATATATGCCTTTTTTGTTTTTAGCGTTGCTGAACCTTTATAATATTTGAATAACGCCACATCATTAGAATTTACATGATCGACCGAAGAGATGAATCGTTTGGCAAAAGAATAGCCTTTGTCGGAGGCTACTGTTATTTGTTATTTCTATAAATATTTGAATCAGGCGTGTTATAAGTTTTGTATTATCTTCCTCCGTAATGAGAAGAAATCTTCTCCGTTGTTTCCACATTGCTGTAGTCAGAAATTGAGTTCAAATATAAAGGGTTGATTATCCCTTCAATATTTTCTTTTTGAGGGGAAGAAAAAATAAAGAACATTTCTTGCATTTCAATTCATGGCGAAGCTACAATTATGAAATGGGTGTCAATCTTTGCTAGAAAATTACACTTATGAATAGATTTAATTTTATTTTTATTATGTATATATACTATATATTGAACCTTTTTTAACTTTTTTGTGTGTTTACTTCGTTATAATTTGGCTTGGCAACCTATACTGAAAAATTTGGGCTCGCTACTGATTATGGGTAAATTCTATGACTAAATCCCTTGAATCCTGTTGGATAGATGTTAGGATCGGGAATCCGGGTGGTGCGAAATTTAGCCAAATAACGGTATAATAATAATAACAAAGATAATTGAAGTTGATAACAACGGTAATTAAAGTAAATAAAGAAGACACAAATTTAACGTGGTTCGGTCAAAGTGACCTACATCCACAAGCGGAGAGGAGCAATTTACTATAACAATAAGAGTACAAAAGAGAGTACAAAATTAGAGTAAACACTCTAATTAATCACAAATACCCTACGAGAATAACCTCACAAGATCACTCCAAAGAAAGGGTTCACACAAGTGCTTCCCAACACTAATTCTCATACAAAACACTCTTAATAAAGGAAGAAA